CTACTAATTCTATTATTATTTCTACTAATTCTATTATTCATTTCTACTAATTACATTATCATTTCTACTAATTACATTATCATTTCTAATAATTTTATTATTTTTAACATTGTTTGTCCTCAGGTTCTTTTTATTATTTAACATTTATTTTTATTATTATATTTTATTATTTAAAGAAAGAAAAAACACCCCCAGAGAACAGCTTTAATTGTCATTTGTAAATAAATTCTAATCCATCTTTTTTACATTTTTTCTACGTCCCCCACCACCTGATTGGTCATTTTACGATTAAGCATAACTTTATTGCAAATGTCACAATAAAGAAATCAATATCTAGTAATAACTGAAGTCTTACGGAAGGTTAACACTCCTTTGTTGTACGAAACGTCTTGGATTTTTGTTCAAATTAAGATAAATTGAAAACTATTATTTTGGACTATTTATGTTAAAGGAATAACAACGTTTAAGAAACAAAAAGTAATAATCCTTAAAATTCCAGCTGCTAGTAGAAGAAGATAGCAGTTGATATATTTTTCAATATTTTCGATCTTTTGTCTTAAAATGTAGTTTCTCGGCTCTAAGGTTTATACTTATGCTGTTGTTATATGTTAGAGAAGTATAACATTCTAGCCCTAATGAACTATGCTGTTTACCTTTTATATCTTATGTATACAAATAACGTAAGTATATTTCTGTTAATTAGACGTTCTAACATACTTTTATGACCTATTTTAGGCACTCCTAGGAGTCCCATCTGATGTCTGAAGATTCGTCTGATCGCTATATTATAATGCTGTAAAAAATATTATTGTTTCTGTAAAAAAAAAAAAATTGTAAAGATCAGTTCTCAACACAAACGTTAACTTCTGTTGGTTTTCTTTGCATTGTTGTATATATTTTAATTATGGTTATGTAGATGCAGATATTCTGACCGTGAAAACTGTTCTGGAAAAATCGTTAAAACAGACACAAACTGATGTAACACCAAACCGTAACCATTAAAACGATGTGAATAAACAGTCTTGTCTGACTTGTCAAAAAACGTTCTTGGTGATGACACCAGTCACGTGACCGTCAAAGAGCTTTATTGGATATCAAGAAGGATAAGTGAATTAACATACCAGTCACGTGACCGTATAAAGTTTTTATTTTATTTCATTGGATATCAAATAGTGTTTAATATATTAATAAAGCAGTTACATGATCGTCAAAGAGTTTTGTTGAATATCAAAAGGTGTTCTTGGTAAAATTTGTTTGCTATTCCCTAGTTTTGATCTGACAGATTAGAGAGGAAGAGAGTAGCTGGTCAACAGCACTGACCCCTCACTGACTACTCTAATCGAATAATGGGAGTTGACCTCATCTTATAACGCTCTCACGGTCCTAAAGTGAGGGCTACGATTTTGCAAAAACGGGATGCGAGCCATGGACTCTTGGGTTCACAATCTGGGACGCTAATCACTTCGTCACGCCCAGACCTTTTGTAAAGTAACACACCAATCACGTGACCGTATGTCGTTCACAGTACTTTAGTGGTAATAGTATTTAAGTTCCTATTTTGTTTTCCTCAGTTCATAATAATATATCACTCATAAAGACATGTTATGAAAGCGTAACTCTAACAAGTTTCTCATGTTCACTTTTAGAGGCTCGTGTTGTTATTCTCTTTTAAGTTGGAGTAATCAAAGCGACTTAAACAAACAGATCATTTTCACGTTTATTCCAATATAACGTCTTCGAATAGTGAATTTTAAAAGGGTGAAACAAAGACAGTAATTTTACAACAAACTGTGAAACATGGAATTTGTTCCAGGATCCCCCAGTGGTAAATCTACCGGCTTACAACGATAAAATCTGGTGTTCGATAGCCCAATGTGGCTTTTCTCTAATACAAACAAACTAGTTCGTCCCTACAGAATAACGTGGATATTATGAGTCGACCTGATGATTACACTTACTATTCTTCATATAGCACTGCTCACTGAACTTGATTCACTGACAAGCTATATGATGCAACACTTAATATACATTCAATATAAATTACTCTTGCCCAAGATCTTTTGTAATCAGGTGATACCTTGGGTTACCTGGTGTCAGTAGGTGTTACGTCATTCAGTGTCAACAGGTTTCACCTCGAGTCACGTAGTGTCAACAGTTGTCACCTCGAGTCACGTAGTGTCAACAGGTGTCACCTCGAGTCACGTAGTGTCAACAGGTGTCACCTCAGCATACTGAATCTCAGCAAGTACCACCTAGAGTCACTTAGGGTTAGCAGGTGTCACCCAGAGTCACTTAGTGTCCACAGGTTTCACCCAGAGTCGTTCAGTGTCAACAGTTGTCACCTTGAGTCACGTAGTGTCAACAGGTGTCACCTGGGCATGCTGAATCTCAGCAGGTGTCACCTAGAGTCACTTGGGGTTAGAAGGTGTGGCCCGGAGGTACTTAATGTCAATCGGTTAAACATGGAGCCACTTAGTGTCATCAGGTGTTACCTAGCGTCACTTACTGTTAGCATGTGTTAGGTGTCACCCGTAGTTACTTGGTGTCACCAGGTGTGTCCGGTGACACAAAGAGTCACTTAGTGTCAGAAGGTGTCACCTAAGGTTGCTTAATGTCAGCTTGTAGTAATTGTTATGTATCAAAAACGACGTTGCTACCAGTTTACGAAAAATTAGAGATTTATTAAACACAATACAAGCTTTACTATATCAAACTATAATAAAGGAGTGTCTTGCCTGTACTTTAAACATAAATATTTCAATCTCAAAATCGAACTAAAATACAATAAGTAGAAAATATCAAAATTTTTGGTAATATCTCATCCAAAATAATGATAGAAATAATAACAACTCATGCACAAAGAACCAGAAAAAACCTATCACGCAATATCATTAAAAATAGCAATACTAAATACTTCTCATATCGTTAAATTACAAATACGGATCAAGTGAATACTTACAAAAATATATTTTAACAAATCAAATACCTTGTGTATTCACAAAATAAGTCCTCTCTCTCTATTGTCCTCGTTAATTTAGTTTGGGGTCTTAGGCCTTTCATGACCTTGCCTTTTGTTTTAAATAATCGAACATGAATCTGGTTTCCATACGTCACCGCTAGGGAAACCTAGTGTTGGTGTTGTAATATAGAAATCACTCGTTCAATGTTTTCAACTAGAAGGTAGGTGAGATAGCAATGAAGGCAAGAAAAACGTATGTGAACCAATCGGTATTAGAAAAATACATAAAAGATAAACAAAGTAATAACTAAAAATAATAACTGTTAACTCACAATGCCACCTATAGTTGTCTAGTACCATCAGTGTCACCTAGAGTCTTCTAATATCAGCAGTTCTCACCTAGTGTCAGCAGGTATTGTCTAGAGTCACCTAATGTCAGAAGGTGTTGCTTATAGTCATTAGTGTCAGCGTGGGAGTCAACTAGAGTCGTCTAATATCAGCAGATGTCGCCTAGATCGTCTAGTGTCAGCAGTTGTCGATTCGGGGTCACCTAGTGTCAACGGGTGTCGCCTATGTCGACTAATGTCAGCATGTGTCGCCTATAATCACCAGTGTTAGCAGATGCCTATTGTCATTAGTGTCGCCTAGAGTCGTCTAGTATCAGTAGGTTTCGCTTAGAGTTGTCTAGTATTAGTAGGTGTCGCCTAGAGTTGTCTAGTATCAGTAGGTGTCGCCTAGAGTTGTCTAGTATTAGTAGGTGTCGCCTAGAGTTGTCTAGTATCAGTAGGTGTCGCCTAGAGTTGTCTAGTATTAGTAGGTGTCGACTAGAGTTGTCTAGTATCAGTAGGTGTTGCCTAGAGTTGTCTAGTATCAGTAGGTGTCGACTAGAGTTGTCTGGTATTAGTAGGTGTCGCCTAGAGTCGTCTAGTATCAGTAGGTGTCGCCTAGAGTTGTCTAGTATTAGTAGGTGTCGCCTAGAGTCGTCTAGTATCAGTAGGTGTCGCCTAGAGTTGTCTAGTATCAGTAGGTGTCGCCACTCTAGGCGACACCTACTAATACTAGACGACTCTAGGCGACACCTACTGATACTAGACAACTCTAGGCGACACCTACTAATACTAGACAACTCTATTTGGTAATCACAATAGAAACTCTACATAATGCTAAGCTGTAAGCAAGAAGCAGTCATTTCCCCGAAAGGGGGCGGAAGGATGGTTCACCTGTTGTAATCACTCGCACCACTATACAGTAGTGTGTTGTCTATCAGTCAGTCAGTAGACACTACAATTACGTCACATAAGGGACACTTAAAGTTGCAATTTTTACTGTCGTCACGTCAGTAAAACATGCGTATGCCATGAATCACTAACTTTGTAGGCTGCAACACAGCATGGTATATGAACTTCAAAAGCAAGAAAAAAAATTGTTACTCTTAATTTTGGCTTTATTTTCGTTTGAAACAGAAGGCTTTTGGGGACCCTGCGGAAGTACTATCTAGTAATAGCTGTTATATTAATTTTAAGAATCATGTAGCTGTGAAGAGAAAGTAGGCCAAAAAGTAGTGCGTTGAGATTATCTTCAGATCTGAAGCAGTGAACAGTCACGTATACGAAATAGTAGTTACATCACGTTCCTTGACGTAACTGGTAGTCATAACAGAAAAGCTACGTTCCTGGCGTAACGGGACATCTCTAGGTGACACCTGCTGGCACTAGGTGACTCTAGGCGACACCTACTAATACTAGACAACTCTAGGCAACACCTACTGATACTAGACAACTCTAGGCAACACCTACTGATACTAGACAACTCTAGTCGACACCTACTGATACTAGACATTCTTCTTAAATATATGCAAATGTATTTGAATTCCACAATTACCTGATGGTCCTATAACACAGCTTATCAAGATTCCGAGTTGAAATCACACGACACTTTATGATCCCATTAACCAAAGAAAGGAAGTGTTTTAGAAATATTTTGAGCAATGTTAAAATAGTCAGTCGGTGTAACACTACTTACTGCTTCGTGGTTCTTAATTTCTTTCCACTCTACCTATTAGATCCAAAAAGCACAATGATTCAGGTGCATAGTTTTCGTTTTCTAAATGTGTAATTTCAAGAATTTACATTATTTCCATGATTGTAAGTCGATGAAAATGTTTTTCTCTCTCTAGAGCTACCTACTGATTCATATATATGTCTATTCACCAAGGAGGGGCCGGCATGGACAGGTGGTTAGAGTACTTGACTCGCATTCTGAGGTTCGCGGGTTCGAATCCCCGTCCCACCAAATATGCTCGCCCTTTCAGCCGTTGGGACGTTATTATGTCACAGTCAATCCCACTATTAGTTGGTAAAAGAGTAGCCCAAGAGTTGGCGGTGGGTGGTGATAACTAGCTGCCTTCCCTTTAGTCTTTCACTGCTAAAATAGGGACGGCAGACGGTTGCGCCCTCTCTTCGGTTTAGAGTTTCAAAAACAAAGTGTAGTGTTTATGAATATTAGTTTTATCGTTGCCATCAGTCATGATACAATTTTTTAAGTGGTTATTTCTCACTTTTCTGTAAGTGATACTAACGTTATTTTTAATTATTGTTCTGTTAGGTCGTCAAGAAATTAATGTCGCGTTTTGGAACACTTTCATTGACAACTCCCCAAAAAACGTACATCACGTATAATAGTTAAACGAACCGCCTAAACGTCACGTTAGTGCATCCGAAATAATGTGTAAAGTTTAGTAAACTCTAATCCCTTATAGTTATGGCACACGACGAGACACACATTCGGCATGTAATGCTGTTTGAATACAAGAAGGGAAACAACGCCTCTGTAGCCACAAATAATATGAAAAAAGTTTATGAACGTGTTTTGAACGTTTGTAAGTGTTAACGATGGTTCATCAAATTTCGTTCAGGTGACTTTAGCCTTAAAAATTGTGATGGCAGGGGCCGACATGTTGGAATTGATATTGATGCTCTGAAGAAGCTTGTTGAGTCCAACCCACAGGTGAAATGGCCCTGAAATTGCATGTCTCTCAAGAAACAATACGTAAACATCTA